GGGCCAAATTTGGCCCGCGGGCCAGAGTTTGACACCTATGGCTTAGAGCATCCCTTTTAGCTAGCAGCTGATCAGTTCTTAATACAACGCAACTGTCACAAAGCTAGAAGAAAACAAAAAACACAGACAGACAGACAGATGGATGCTGCCATAATATCTCAATAGAATTTTTTTCATCCAAATGACAGAATGAAGACTCATTTTGTCAGTTTTACTATTATACACCTTTCAGGTTTTCCAAATGGGCTTATTGTGTAAGAAGCTAATTATTCCAAATTGTCTTCACCAATCAGGCAAAATGTTACAATCCCTGACAGGTGCTAATAATAACTCTGATTATCTCTCTGCAGTGGCACCTGCCATGGAGAGTCATGTATTTAGTAGAAAGTGAACACTCAGTTCTTGAAGTTAATGCTCTGCAAAAAGGTAAAATGAGCAAATGCAAGAATCTGTGAAGTGCTGACAAACAAGGGACAAACTGTGACAGCTGGATGACTCGGCCAGAGAGTTTCTAAAAAAAGCATGTTTTGGGGATTTTGAGTGTTCTCGCACGTATGCACCAGTTCGAACCAAAGTCCTTCAAAAAGGACTTTTAATAATGTGTCTGGTGGGAGGCATGCAAGTGGTCCAAGAGGAGACAGTGAGTGAACCAGTGGCATGGGAGTTTTAATTAGGAGTCATGCCACTCCTGAGTTAGCTTGTTCTAGAAAAAGTGAGAAAATAAGGATTTGTTTTGGTTCTTAGCAAAATAGAGTCATTCGGGTAATACTAGCAGTACAACATAATACTTTTGTTTCAAACACATTCATGGATTGAGCCTGATCAGCGCTCTATGTATTGCTTATTTAGTGAGTCAATACAGTTGCAGTACACATTTAAAAATTTACAGTTTTACAACTGTTTATTTCGGTCCTGCTATCTTGGATTGCTAACTTGGGGTACTTTGGTCTTCAGCAACTTTCTGATTTGCAAGTCCAAGTTGAGGGGGCGTTCCACATAAAAATTCTGCGTAGAAACTCTGAATTGAATTGAATTGACAACTTATTCAGGAAGAAACTATTATTAAATCCCTCATTTATACAGGTAATCTTATGTGAACGAAAAAACATACAAAAATTGAGTCAGCCACATAAACCAACACATATTACAACGCACTTACTGCATCTCCCTTAGATAAAACAAAGGGGGTTGAAAAAAGTTGCTTTTTTTCGGTTACTCAAGCTGGTTGTTAAGTATTTAGAAACGTGTTAGTTTAACTCAGCAACGTAAAGTAAAATAAAATTCCTAGACACAAAAACAAGTTTTGTCCTTTACTTTGTTTGTCTGAGAGCCAGGACAAAATAAAAATGAAAACGCACAGTTCTTTTTGGTGACACAGTCACTGACTTAAATATATGCCAAGTAGCTGTTCTTATATGCCCAGTGAATCACCAAAGCCTCATTTAAGCCCCGAGGCAAGTTTGAAAATGTCCGGGGTTGTATATTTTAAGGATGGTGATATCCTTTGATCATTTTAGACCAAAGTTAACAATCTGTATAGATGACTTGCTCAATATTCTATTGAATCCCTGAAATATCGATTGGGTGTAAATCACTGATTAAATTATATTTTTAAATAAATATATCCCAAGATAACAAATTCACTTTAATCTGCACAGTCTCTGAAATCCCACCTCTCGCTCTTCCTCTCTGTTTTTTTCTTCCTCCCGGCTGCCAGCTTGTGTAGTGCTGATATATAAAAAACAACTGGAGTAACTAACTCGCAGGTGAACAGCAGAGCTTCAGTCCACTGCTGCTTGCAGACGGACATAAACGAGCGCGCGGGGGGAGGAAACCTCACGACTCACCAGAACAACCAACCATCTGACTCCTAAACAGGTTTTCAGATTCCTGAGTAGTCGAAAAAAAAAAAATCTCCGGGTCTGACCTGAAAATCTGCGGACTGACTGTAAGGGGCATGCGTGCAGCGCAGCTAGAGGAACTCTTTATGAACGGGCTGAAGTGCCAAGAAGGATTTCCATTTCTCCCACAGCTCCGGCTTTCTTCTCGCTGTCGCGCAGGAACGACGCGTGCTTCACTGGACTTATAATCGACCAGCGAATTTCCAGGCTGATGAAGCACTTTGTCAACCCTTATATTGTTCTTTGCTTTTCTGCAGCCCAGCGAGAAACCTGCAAAACATCATTGTAGCGCAGCGGTGATGGACATTCGCTTTGGCGTCTCGGTTATGCACGCATTGGAATCATTGTGCTTTTTTTTTCCAAAGGCGCTACTTCTGCACACATCTCTCGCTCGCCTGACTTTCTTTAAAGCTTAAAATGTTTTGTCGGTGTGTATGAGCGATGGCGCCCGAACCGCACCAGGTGACGGAGAGGTTATCTGCACGTTTGGACCTGTTCGCGTGGATAATGAGAATTTATGCCACAGGTGAATGAATATTTTCTGTTTTGAAGCCGCTTTCTGACTCTGGCATACAGCTCGAGAGGGCTGCACGGTGAACAATGGATCTCAAAGTGGAAACCGAAGAAATGGAGTCAAATCAACCTCCACCCATAGAAGTTTTTGCGCACAGCTCGACCCTACACGGAATCTCTCACATCTTCACGTACGAGCGGTTCTGCGTCAAACGCTGCCTGTGGCTCGTGTTTTTCTTGGGCTCTCTGACCTTCTTGCTGTACGTGTGCGTGGACCGGATCCACTTCTACCTCGAGTACCCTCACGTCACCAAACTGGATGAGGTCACGACCCCGATCATGACGTTCCCCGCCGTCACTTTCTGCAACCTGAACGCTTTCCGCTTCAGCCGCGTGACGCGCAACGACCTGTACCACGCAGGGGAGCTGCTGGCCCTTCTCAACCAAAGGTAGCTGTTAAAGAAAAGTTAATAGAGAGCGCTCCGAATTTAATTTCCAACTCTGCCTCCGCTACAGGAGAATTACTGCATTTAATATTGCCCTTTTAGCTGGGCATTTAAAACGCCCCATATTTTTTACACAGGTGCAGTGATTAGCACTGATGCCTCATAAAAAGAAATTCCTGAGTTCGAACTCCGGAAGGGTGGAGTTTGGGTACTTTGACTTCCTCCCACACAAACGGGTACAAATGTGCAAAAACATGCACGCTAGGTTAATTGTGTGAATATGAGCTGTGCTACCTAGTGGCCTGTCCAGGGTGTATGACACTATGCCCCATGACAGCTGGGATAGGCACCAACCACCCACCAGGCGTACCTGCTTTTCACCTTATGATAGTTAGTAAAGTAATTCACACTTTCAAAGTTTAGATAAAACATTTAATGTTTTCATCAAACGTTGTTCCAGACTAATTAGCAAATTCTCTTTCAATATTCTGTTTTTTGTCCATTTAGACATATTTTTAGAATAAATCATACATACTTCTAGGTGATATTTTCAATACAGGAATGTAATAGAGTGGTTATATTTTGCAGCATTGTTACTAAAAGCTGGCAGAAGTCTAAGAAAGGAGAACAATAAATTCCCTCCCACCTGATGAGCATGGCATATGCACTAAAATAGGGTTACGCTGACTTTTGGCTTCACTTGGGATTCCAAACCTGCTTTCCTGTGGAAAGAACTCTACTTAACCCACTATCCCACTATGTCTTACCACTTTCTACTACTCTATGACCTCTGTGGCCAAATTCTTGCGTTACAGGCTAGAGAAGGTGCAGTAGTCTAGTTACTTCTTAGATCACTTAAACTACAATGTGCTGAAAGGTTAATCTGGATTTTCTTTTAAAGTCCAGTGGCCCCACCTTCAAAGCATACCCCAGTTTTAAGCATAGGATTGAGTTCTTCATCCCCCACTGGCAGTTTGCACTCCTTTATCCAGCAAGCTCTAATAGTTCATACCTTGTTGAGTGATTCAGTGCTTGGAGAGAGCATGCTTGGCAGGCTTGAATTAACTAAGGCATACTAATCAGAAAACTCCAGCCGCCTTGTTGGTGCAGCTGAAGGCTCTGGGTAATGGAGCTGGAAGCAGCGTCGTACTGTACAGCATGCACAGGAGGAAAAGCTGTGGAAAGTCTGCTTCCTTTGATTGCAAGTGAAATGGCAGACGCTGTGGGTATTTTTTTTTTTTTTTTATTTATTTATTTTTTTTTGTCATTCACATACTTACATCCTTCATGTCGGTGAAACCTCACCAAAAATTCTCCTCCTGCACATTAAATCTACTCAGTAGATTTTAATGTTATATTACGTGGAGATGTTCAGAATGAATGCTGATTATCATCACGCACAGGGCTGTTGAAGAGGCAGGGAAGAACAAGAGGCTGTGTTAATCCTTGCTTAAGACGCTGTTTGATTGCTCTCCCTGTGGTGTTGTAATATTTTTTTCTTCCAAATGTCAACAGAGGTAGCAATAATGCAACAATTAGCAAGATTTTGACATTCACTACAATCAGGGCTCGAGAGCATTTCAGGAGAGTTTGGACCGTTGTTTCACCCGAGTCATCAAAAACACAAGTGTCCTCCGATTATGTCAGGCTTGAACATGTCTGTTAAAGAGATCAAGGAGAAGACTCAGCATCTGGTGGATTTACTTTAACATGGAGATGAAGACAGTTTCTATTCTATATCTTTAACAGAAATCCCAGATTGAAGACTAAAATTAGCTTTGTTTTCCTGTGAGGCTGGTGTGGCTGATAATTAACACTTGCCATCTGGATTTTTCTACATCAATTCATCTCCTAATCCCACATTTCAAGGCAGCAGTTCACAAAGAATTTTTTGTCAAAGTTGGCCACCAAACCAGAAAGGGGTTGAATTTCCTTCTAAGTTTCTTTCCTTGTGTACTTATCTCAACTCTTACACTCTGAAGTAGGTTTAGTGCTCATTATCCTGCCTCCCTGGGCAAGGTAGAGAGGCGATGCAACAGCACACTTAGCTGTTATACCCCAGCCAGAAATGAAAGTGCTCGTGGCATGAAATCCATTTAAGATTGTTCTCCACCTACTTCCCATGTTTGGAGTCACTGGTCTGGGAAATGTCTTGTGGCATGATATTTAAGCTGTGCACATACTGAAGTGTCAGTCTCTGCTGATCCTGTCGGCTTGTACTTCTGGGATTTTATCTCATAAGTGCCTTCTTGGCAGGTCTGTCCACAATACAAACAGCAGGGAGTCAATGCCTCTCCTCAATTAAGTTCACTTTCAATCAAACAAAAGCGCTCCCTGCCCCATCTTAATAAGGTTAGGCTCTTCTTAATGTCTAAAATCTGTGAACTGATTTTTAAAGCAGAATGAGGCTAGTTGTTATTGATCTGTTGTTTTGATGATTTCACTTGGTTGGATCCCCTTTTGCCTTCTGCAAAATGGGGGAAAAAAAGCATTTACTGCACCCTATGTTTTTATAAGACATTTTAATAGCTTGGCATAATTGCACATTACCGACTCCATTCTTAAAGTAAGCAGCCACTGGATCTCATTCTTATTCATGTTGCACATAAAACACATGGTGTGTATTAATTGTATTTGCCACAATAAAAGACCATATTCATAGTACATTCATATGAGAAATTTCTAAAAAAAAAAAAATCCTTTCATTTGAAGCAGCGTTTGAGGTGGGGTGAGATGGGGGGCTGGAGTAGTCTGCTCTTTGGTGAGTCCATTAAAATGGTGACATTTTTAATAATAGCTCAGTGGGAGATCACAGCAAGGCTGGAGAGCGGCTGCATTTACAGCTATTCTGCTCACTTTTAATACAAGGCAGCGTGGTCAGATTTTTGTGAGCTCCATTAAATGAAAGTAAATTTCCCAGTGCTACCGATAATACTGCGTATGATGTGGGTTGTCTGGCTCCCCACTACGTTACACATAGGCCTTTATAGTTAAGAGTCTGTCAGGAGAAACAGACGAAACCAACAGAAATGTAACTGAATGCCAAGCTATCAGTGAGGCAGAGCTATGTTAAACATCATACATGATATTACAGCTGAGAAACTCTCATTGATATGGGTATTAAATGCTAAAACACAGACATAATTAAGCTTTTTGATTTTTTTTTCTGTTTAATATACTATCTTCTGCTTTTAATGTTCCCAGTGTCTCCTGTTTCCCTGTCTTTGTCTCTCTCTTTCTTGTTTTTATGCTCGTACCTTAGTTTATCATTTATCATTTATTTATTTATCACTTCCTTGCCTGCATCTTCGCTTTCTGCCTTCTCACTGATTCCTTGATTGTTTCAGCATGTGTCTTATCTTCTGCTGTCTGATTTCCTTCCCCTGTGACTGTCTGTCCTGCTTTGATTGTTTCCTCATGTGCGTACTTGTTTAAGCAGCTTTTTGTGCATATGTAGTCTTATCTTTACCTTTTGTTCATTGTCAGATTGTTTGCTCCCTGAACCTGTTTTTATGGGAAAAGAGTTAGCTTTTTTATTATTTACTGTACTTTTCCTTAGCATCCTGTGACGGTCCCCACCATTAGCAACTATACAGATATCAATTGTGGCCACTCTAGGGTCAGTTAGTGGATGCTACTTTATTAATATTCCAAGATGGCTACAATAACTATGCAAACTTTTTGATGTTAAGCTTGTTAGCTAGCTGACATTTGCTAACTTAACTAAAATGCGTATTTGATATAATTGAACGAAGCGCACAGACAAAGATTCAGAAGGTAAACGGACAATCTGATAAAAGGACAAAACTATGCACTTACTGGCTAAGTACTTGCTAAAGCGAGCAAGAAAAGTGAGTTAAAAGTTCAAAAGTGGCGTTGTTGGTGGTGCCACACAAACTAGTTTGGGATTTGAGAAGCTGTTGATCTGCTGGGGTTTGTTTTTCCAACAGAAGCATCTTCAGGTTTTACAGGGAATGGTCCCCTCCCAAAAAAGTATAAAATATCCATTGAATGGGAGTGCTTTGGGAGAAAATGAATTCCTAATGCCAGAGATTAGTGGAGACTAGTCAAAATGTTTCCAGCTGTTAGGAAGGCAACAGTAACTCAAATAACCACTATTCAGAAGAGTATCTCTGCGAGTACATTAAGTCAAACCTTGAAAGATATGGGCTACAGTAGCAGCAGATTACACTGGGTGTTACTAATGTCAGATAGAAACAGGAAATGGAGGCGACAGCTCACCTGTGCTCTGTTGTGGTCTGATGAGTCTCGAGTTCTGCTGGAACATTCAGATGGTAGAGTCAGCATGAAAGCATGGATCCATCCTGCCTTGTACCAGTGGTTCTTGGTGGTCTTGTACCAGTGGTTCTTGGTGGTGTGCCCCTTAGTGGCAGTTGATCATTGTTCAAATGCTTCAGCCTACAGCCACGGTTGCTGCTGACCATGTCCGTTCCGCTACGACCACAGTGTACACATCTTCTTGATGGCTGCTTCCAACAGGATAACGCACCAGAACTCAGATCACATCAAATGTTGTCCACAGCCACCAAAATCAAGAGTGTCTTTGGGATGTGGGTAGAACGGGTGATTTGCATCATGAATGTGCAGCCAGCAAATCTGCAGCAACTGTGTGATGCCATCTTGTCAACATGGATCAAAATCTCAGAATTTTTCCTGCACCTTGCTGAATCTGTGCCATGATCATTTAAGGCACTTTTTAAGACAAAAAAGAGTCCACCCTGGTACCAGCAAGGTGTAGCTAATGAATTGTCTGGTGTGTATGTGTGTATGCACACTTAGATGGCTGATTTCAGAAAGAGACACAATTAAGGTGGACCAGAGGGCTCAGGAGCAAAAACATGGAGATACACAGAACGAGACTTCAAAGTAAAACCGGAAATAACAAATAGCTTACACTGATGGGGAAGCACAGAAGGAAGGAGAAAATTCAGCAAAAGGACCGGGAACCAGCACATATAACAGGGACCATGACTGTATTTGAGTATGTTCATGAACTGCTAGCTGGAGAATGCTCTCTGGGATGTGGGTGTACATGTTTCTTTGCTAATGTCCATAATCTAAGTAACAAAACTAAGTTTTGTTGATTGATGAAACAAAAATGAGCTTCTGTCAAAATGATCGAAAGAGCACCATGTGAAGCAAAAAGCCATCACGTCTCCCACCATAATGTCTCATCTTTCAAACACGGTGGTAATTCTGTTATGGCTTCCTCTACCAGCTGAACTGTGACCCAGAAATATATTAATGATTCCATTGTTCTGAAAAATTCCCTTTTTTCACCATACCTCTGCCATGGATTTAAAAGATTTAGTTACTCTTACTTCTGAAGGAGACAGCTTAAAAATGCACATGAAAGTTTAAGTTTAATCCAGTCAACATAAGGTTGGTTCAAATTGAAATACCATGCAGCCTGGAACTGTTGCAGTGAAGGGACTACTGGATTAATGGTCTTGTACAGCTCCTGTCTCAACTTTATATAAACTAAAGCTTTACACTTTGGTAGTCCTTGTCATCTGAGAGGTGGAAAATGCCACAGAAAAACCATCTTGTACATTTTTGTCGTCTGGTTTTCACACCTTATGATTTATTGTGCAGTATTATTTTTAGATTGAGGAGAGTAAAGGTTCACTGGTATAGACGCTCATAAATTTTCTTGGAAGTGTACAAAAAAACCCCTACAAAGTCTATGATAAGGGAGCGATTAACTGCTGGGATGTGCTGCTCAAGCAAGCGCCTGAGTCCATACCAAACTACGAGACATGAAATTTGCAATTGCTGAAACATTTCTATGAACTCTCCTTCTCTATCTGATTTCAAAGGTATGAGATCAGAGACATGCACCTGGTGGAGGAGAGCGTTCTGGAGAGTCTCAAGGTCAAAGCCGACTTCCACAACTTTAAACCGCGACCCTTCAACATGCGGGAATTCTACGACCGCACCGGCCACGATATCAGTGACATGCTGCTCTCCTGCCACTTCCACGGCACCGAGTGCAGAGCAGAGGACTTCAAAGTGGTAAGTCATTGCTCCAGAAGATTTGATCAGAAGATTATTAAAGGATTACGCTCAAGTCACATTGTTTCTATAATTGCTAGTGTGCAACAACCGAGCTGTAATTATAGCTGGGAATTTTTCTGAAACCTCTCATATATCTGACAGATGAACTGTCTGCAGAGCCGTGAACAAACATTGATGTTTCATGTCAGCCCAGGCTTTTTCGAAGCTGAAATTTAATTGATAGAGTGCTTTATTAAACAGGCTGTGACAAAACAGAGATAAAAATTACTGTGTTAAACTTAAAAAAAAAAATTTCCTGAGTACATTTTGATGGGCATGCCTGCTGACCCAAGTGGTTCCCATACTGAGTCATCAGCAGTTCTGCACACTCATCCATACATGCATATTACAGTATGCAGTGCACTACACTCAGTGTCAACAAATTTCACAACTTTAAATGGTAACTGTGCATGGGATGATCACTCACGTTTGCACTTCTTTATATTTTGTCAGGAAAATGTGAAATGAAACATGTGCAAGCATGCAAAGACTTTGTACAATTCTAACAAGCTTAGAAGGCTTTCGTTGGTATGAACACCTTTACTTTTCAACACAGCCGGAAGTCTCTTAGGCAAGCTTTCATGTAATTTCTTTAAGTAGCCTTCAGGAATATTCTCTAGGCTTCTTGAAGGACATTTAAAGCCTTTCTTTGGATGTTGGCTGCCTTTTGTTTTGTTTTCTGTCAAGATGATAATGCTGAGGTCTGAGCTCCGAAGAGGCCAGTCCATGACTGATGGTGTGCGTGTGTGTGTGTTTGTGCTTTATTTCTATCCAGGTATGCCTTTACTGCATTGGTAGTGTGTTTGGTATTAAAGCTCTAAGTGTTATCTGAAGTGCTGGTATAGCTCAGCAGGGGTCCGGATGTGATTTCACTCTGGGCTGTTTCCTCTCTGTTGTTTCCCACACTCTCTTCCTCCTTTCCTGTCTACTCTACTCTACTCTGCTACTGAAAAGTAATAAAGGAAAAAAATCCACTTAAAATTGGTTGATACATTAAAAAGAAGAAGAAGGAGAAGCTGTTGCCAATCAGATGTTTTCCAGATTGTATTGCATGGTGGATCAAAATTGGCTGGTACTTTCTTCTGTTCCCAATTCCATCAATTTTGAAAAACATTCCCAACACTCCTTGCTGAAATGCAACGGTAAACCATAACAGAGCCTCCACTGTGTTTTACAGATGGCTGCAGACACTCACTGTTGTACCTCCCTCCTAAACAACTCCTCCTCCTCCTTGCCATCTTTGGCTTTTTTTTTTTTTTTTTGGACAGTAAACTAAACAAATGGGAACAAATTGTGTTTTCTGCAACAGGCTGCAAAACTGGCTCATCCCTTGAGTTATGTGCTTTTTTTGGGATTTAATGATTTATACTGTTTTGACAGAGCCCCTATTTTGTTTATCCTATATTAAAGTACAGAGGATGCGGTGTCAAGCATTAGCTGTCTTTCTTTTATGGCTCCAGTTGTTATGTTGGCAAATAACCAGACTGATAAAAGTCACCAACCAGAGACTGAGATCATGATGCGGATTTGTGTTGGCTGCGCTCGAATCCCAGATGGGAATGAGCAACAGCTGAAGTCAGCACCTCGGGTAGTTAATTACTGTGTAGCCAATGAAACTAATGAAATTGCAAACCATTAATCATATCTGCACACACAGATACTGAACCAATCAAATGCAACACCAACAGTCAGAACAAACACCTTGTGGTGTAAAGCCATCATTACAGAGATCAACATGAAAATAAAGCTTTTGATAAAATAACCAGCTTTATACTGTAAGATTTAGATCAATTCTAAAATATATATATTTTAAAGCATATATGTGGCAAATTTTCAGAAAATTTGCCACAGCACGTGTTGTTGTATGGGCATGTTCGCCATTTCTTTTAATCCCAAGTGCACGCAGATGTTTAAAACGCCATTTTCACTTCTGTGAGTCTTCCGTGTCTTCTAACAAGTTCTTGTTAAAGTAAATGATCAAACATTGTTTTGAGCTTTTTAGTTATTTCACTTGAATCCCTTCAGCTTTTAAAATAAATGTTCGCGTCTACCTTTTTAAAATAAAAATAGTTTTTAGTGTTTTTAATTTTATCCTTTAAACAAGGAAAGGGAGGCATTATTTGGAAATGTGTTGTATATTTTTACCCCAGGAAGACTAGATGTGCTTTGTGTTTATAGCTAAAGGGGATCCTAATAAATAAAAGAAACCAGTAAACAATGTGCACAGATGTCCTTGTGGAGAATGGATGTGAAATAATGCACTGGAGCTGGCAAAATTTGTTTAAGCAGTCCACTGACATTATATATGTCTGCCTGACTGACTGGAAAAGTAAGTTTCCCCTGCAGCACAGGAGCAGAGCTGCCCGACTGTAATGTCTCTGCTATAAAACCTTCTGCTGAGGCCGGCCCACCCAAACGCTGTAGCCAGAAGTCACTGGCAGCAGACATGGTTTTTAATTTGGAGCTGAACATTGATCATTCGAAACGGCGAGCTCGCTGAGTAGATTGGATTAAGTTCAGTTGTAGTTGTTTTCCTAACAAGATTTACGTTTACTTTCTGTGAGCATCTCTGTTACTATCTGGCAGATATTATTCACGGGAGCACGAGTCGTCAAAGAGTTTTTACCTCGATCTAACCAGCAGTTTTGAGGAAGAACAAGCGTGCATGTGCAGTCCGAAGAGATTAAAGGAGGAATATAATGACACATGCATTCATCCACAATGACACCAGAGAGGATCTCTTAAAGCTGCCGCTTAGTGTAGCAGCTGCACTGGAGTAGCTTTGAAGTGATATTTCTGCTTATGGGCAATTTTGCCATTTTTCCTGCTAAACCAATAAAAGCAAAGCAACTGGGTGCCTTTTTTTCTCCACATGTAGTTGGAAGCAGCACTACTAGAGTGTCTTTTTTAAAAAAAAAAAAAAACAGACATGCCTGGTAGCAAGTCGCAGCAGCTCTGATCTATTTTCATCTCCCCTCTTTTCTTTCAACCATCTTCAAATTTAAAAAAACAAAACCTCTTAGATCTCTGCATGGTCAGAGCAGTCACAGCTCTCCTTGCTTGCACTAGAGTAGTTAGTAGATCTTCTAAAGCAAGCTTCTGGGTTGTTTCTCACTCCAGACTTAAAACAAAAAGAGCCTGTACCTTTAAGATTGTGGCTGCTAAGCCTCTGATTTCATATTTCATTTTCCACACCCACACAATTTGTATTGTGCATCAAGTCTAGTTTATTGATATAGCCCGAATGACAAATTGCCTTAATTAAAGGACTTTACATGCAGCATATGACAACCGATATTTTAGCCCCTCACTTTGGTGTCTGTTTCTTTTTTATTGAGACACTTTGAGTAGTGTCCTTCCTATTTCAATAAATTTTATTGCTTTGGGGTTTGTTTGTTTTTTGTTTGGTTGTTGTTGTTGTTTTTTACCTTTTTATAGTGGTAAGATTTAAAGGGACAGGTGTGTTAAGGAAATAAGAAGTCTCTTTGTCATGCTGTGCAATCAAGCTTAGAATTAAATGTGGATTAATTATACTGGTATTATAAATAGTTGTTCAAAGAGGTCACACTTAAAGGCACACTCACAATAGTCCTTTCACACTTTTCTACAGTAGGGGTCAAATAAATGATTTTATGAATATGTATTGGTTTGTGGTGCAGTGGTGAGTGCTCCCCACTCATAGGTGAGAGGTTCTGGATTTAGATCTGAGGTGTGTAGAGTGTGTGTTATTCTCCCTACACATGTGTGGGTTTGCTCCAGTTTACAGTCCAAAGACCTGTCTGTTAGGTCAACTAGTGACTGTCAATGGGCCGTGGGCATGCATGATTGTCTCTCTGCGTTAGCTCGCTGATGGTCTGGTGACCTGACTAGTATGTAGACCAACTCTTGCTCAAAACAGCCTTTTGCAGCCCTTTGCAAGCCTAGCTTGATAAGCAACAAATGGAAAATGGATGTTTAATACTGTCAAAGGAGCTTGCAAAGAAAAGCGTCTGGACTTCTTTAAGTTGCTTGAAGACGTTTCGCCTCTCATCTGAGAAGCTTCTTCAG